GACCACTCTCTGGCCTGCGGAGGTGGCCCTAGGATCCGTAGGTGCTGGGAAGGACCGACCGAATGAACACGAGACACAAGAGACAGAATGCAGCTCAGAAACAGAGAGAAAAAGGGACAGGACTTTATTGGGGGCAATCAGGGTATATATCCATTAGTGAGGCAGCTACACAAAAGGTCGTGCCCATATATGGTTAGGAAGGTTTGTTTTCACCTATCATGCATTACAAGGTTTATGTGTATCTGGTACCAGACAGGAGGTGATTACACAAAGGGCCATGTTCATATGATTTACCAGACATGAGGTAGATACACAAAGAGCCATGTCCATATGATTTATAAAATTTACATGCATCACATACCAGACACGAGATAGTTACTTCTTGTTATTACTGACAGCCATGACAGATGTTCTCTCAGGATAACCATACATCAAGATAACCATACATAGCACTGGTTTTGCCTGTTGCGGGGTCACGTAGGTCAAGATGACCATACATAGCACAGGCTGTGCCTGCTGTGGGGTCATAGGTCAGGATGACCATACAGGCACTTAGGCCTTGGTCAGTTAAAGGGCCAGCTTCCCACATGGAAGGACCTTGAGGGAATTATGTTAAGTGAAATAAAAAACAAAACTGAATGGGGGCCAGAGAAAAATGTATAGCATTTAAGTAAGGTGCTTCACCCGGTTTTATCCCCATCATTCACTGTACTACACCACTGGGGGTGGCTCAGAACCACCCTACCAAAAGGAAAGAAAAGAAAAATATAAGACCTCATTTGTATATGGAACCTAAAATACAGAATTTGTGAAAATCTAGATATTTTCCAATACTACTCAAGGAGTTTAAACTTCAGCAATAAAATGATTAAGTTCTGGGGATGAAGAGATAGCTGTTGCTACTGCTGCTGCTGCTGATATTTCTGATTACATTTAGTCACCACCAAATTAATCCAGATTATTCCCCCATCTCAAATTCCTTAATTGAATTACATCTGCTAAATCCCTTTTGCCATATAGAGTAACATTCACAGATTTCAAGGATTAGCACCTGGATCTTTGGAGTCTCATTTAGCCTTTCCAAAATGGTTTTGGAGACCAAGTACTCCTGATGCTATCATATTTCTATCTTGCTCCCAGCACACACATTATTATACAGGAAGATAACTCAAATGACTGGAATGCAACAGTTTGCATGCAGGAGGTCTGAGTTTGATTTCTGGTTCCACATGGTCCCCCAACCACTGCCAAGACTGATTCCTGAGCACTGGTGGGTATGACCCAAAAACCAAAATATAATCATTCACACTAGAGTTTAATCTAATCCAGCTCAGACCAGTGTACATATGCTACCTTAATTCCATCTAGACCTTGCCACTCACCTAATTTTTATCATTCACTAATAATTCTATTACACAGGACATTTCTACTGAAAAATATTTTCATTCCTTTTATTGGAATATTGTTGGAAATCTGAGGATACTTTGGGGATGCCAGTCTAACATATTGCCCATAAAAATACTGTTTCATTAATTCCACAAATGAACATTTAAAGTAGTTAATGTAATTTTTATTTTTAAAATGGTTGCCTGAGGCTCGCGCCCAGCCACGTTGGTGAATGAGCTTGAGAGGTTTTTTTTTTGTTTTTTTTTTTTTTTTTTGCTTTTTGAGTCACACCCGTCGATGCTCAGGGGTTACTTCTGGCTCTGCGCTCAGAAATTACCCCTGGCAGTGCTCAGGGGACCATATGGGATGCTGGGAATCGAACCCGGGTTGGCAGCGTGCAAGGCAAATGCCGTACCCTCTGTGCTGTGCTATTGCTCCAGCCCCCTAGCTTGAGAGTTTTTGAAGACAGATTTTGTGTGTGTGTGTGTGTGTGTGGCTTTATCTCCTTCGGCTTTCCTCACATAATCATGGAGGTGCTGAACCAGTCAATCGTATTCTTCATCAACATCGTCAACTACAGCATCGTCCCATGTTACCACAATAGTGCCAAAGAGCTCCCAGTTGGTGGTCATTCTGGGAGTTCTCTTCTTAAGCTAGACTAGAGCTGTTACCTACTGGATTCCACGGGACGTCAAAAGATTGCATCGCCGCCCACCTACGAGATGGTGAGACTTCTTCCTCAAGACCCTGAACGAACAGTTTGAGGCTCTTCGTGTTCCTAGAGCGAGCAGACGCCATTGGGCTACACTAGCAGGAAACAGGGACGAATGGAGATGTTACTGGCGCCCGCTTGAGCAAATAGATGAGTAACGGGATGTCAAGTGATCAAGTGATTTTAAAAATTAGAAAACTGACAGTCTTATCCAAAATCACATAGCTATTAAATGATAGACTCACAATTTTATTCCAGGTCAGTCTTATTTCAAAATTTTGTCAAATTTCATAACTGTTATTTCAATTGGGAATTTACTAACATGTTAAGACATTCTTTGTGATGACATCTAGTTATTTATTTTGAACTTTGGGCCGCAGAGTCCAGGGGCTACTCTGGCTGGGTACTCAAATGTCCCTTCCAGAGGCTCTTAGGAACCATGAGCCTCCAGGGATCAAATCTCAACCTCCTGCGTGCAAAGCACGTGCTTCACCCCAGAGAGCTATCTGTCCTATCCCTTCATGACGTCTTTCATTTTTTTGATCCCCTTTTGGGCTTTTGGACCCCAACCACAACACGTGCGGATGAGTGGGGCAGGGAATTACTTTGAGTCTGTGCCCAGAGGTCACTCATGACAGTGCTGAGGGAAGCATATGAGATGTCACAGACTGAACCGGTACTTTAACCCTTGCACTGTCCTTTTGACTCTGGTAAAGGACATCTCATACTATGTACAACAATATTTTTAACCCTGACTGCTTATTGTCATGTCATTAATCTGCACTGTAGCACTGTCCTCCAGTTGTTCATCGATTTGCTCGAGCGGGCCCAGTAATCTCTCCATTGTGAGACTTGTTACTGTGTTTGGAATATTGAATATGTCATGGGTAGCTTGCCAGGCTTTGCCGTGTGGGTGAGATACTCTCGGTAGCTCTCAAGAGGGGTGGAGGAATTAACTCTGGTCGGCCAGGTCGGCTGAGTGCAAGGCAAACGCCCTACTTGCTCTATTATTACTATTATTATTAAATCAACCCCAGGATCTCATGCATGCAAGGCAAATATTCTATTGCTGATATATACCCGAAGGCTATGTCATTAAGCTTTATGTTTTGTTTTGCTTTGCTGTTTGGGTCACACCTGGTGTTGCACAGGGGTTACTCCTGGCTCTGCACTCAGGAAGTACTCCTGGCGGTGCCCAGGGGACCATATGGGATGCTGGAAATCGAACCCAGGTCAGCCGCGTGCAAAATAAATGCCCTACCCACAGTGCTATCGCTCCAGCCCCAAGCTTGATGTGTTTTTTTAAAGATGTTTAAGGTAAAGGTAAAGGCCCTCCCGTTGGTCGTCGATTTGCTCGAGCGGGCCCAGTAACGTCTCCATTGGAGACTTTGTTGTTACTGTGTCTGGCATATCGAATACTCTCGGTCGCTTGCCGGGCTCTCCGAGAGGGGCGGAGGAAGGCGAACACCCTACCGCTGTGCTATCGCTCCAGCCCTGAGCGATAGCACAGCGGGTAGGGCGTTCACCTTACAAGCGGCCAACATGGCCGACCCGAGTTCGATTCCTCCGCCCCTCTCGGAGAGCCGGCAAGCGACCGAGAGTATTCGATATGCCAGACACAGTAACAACAAAGTCTCCAATGGAGACGTTACTGGGCCCGCTCGAGCAAATCGACGATCAACGGGAGGGCCTTTACCTTTTCACCATGGCCTCTTGGGAATATCCTGGGGGCCCAGAAAGGGGAGCATCATCCAGCCTCGGGGGAATGCTCTCTCAGCCACAACCGGCCCATGAAATCCCCAGAGGTCGCCCCAAACCACACATTCCAGAGCCCACCCCAAGAACTGGAACCCTTGGGGCTGGAGTCCAGCAGGGAGGGCGTTTGCCTTGCACGCAGCCAACCCAGGTTCAATTCCCAGCATCCCATAGGGTACCCCAGCACCACCAGGAGTCATTCCTAAGTGCATGAGCCAGGAGTGACCCCTGTGCACCGCCGGGTATGACCCAAACAACGGGAAAAAAAAAGAACTGGAACCCAGCCAGGAGCCGAGTCTGCGTTTGGGCGGCTGCGAAAGAGATCAGAGCCCGGCCCTTAACGGCGCTGCCAGGCATGAGACAGACGTGAGCTGTGTATCTTACGGTGATGCAACTAAAAAGTATAAAAAAACAAACACTGTCCTCCCATTCGTTGTTCATCAATTTTCTTGAGCAGGCCCAGTAACGTCTTCATTTTTTTTAAAGATGTTTATTATTAGTTTATTTGGGTACCACATCTGACTGTGCTCAGGATTTACTCCTACCTAGTTCTGCGCTCAGGGACCACTCATGTCCATGCTCCGAAGACCTTACACAATGCCAAGGGTCTAACTGGAACCAGCAGCATGCAAGGCAAACCGCCTTATCCCTTGTAGTATCTGATCCCTAATTCTTACTATTTTAAAAATTGTCATCATTGTTATTTTGCAGTGTCAGGGATTGAACTCAGGCTCTCTTGCATGTAAGGCAGACACATCACTCAACTGCCTCTAGATATTCCCAGAACTAATTATACAGACCCTCCGGCTTCATCTGGATTGATTTAAATTTTGGGAAATCCTTACTCGGCTCATCCGTATTCTGTTGCAGTCAACATGAGAAAGCAGGTTTGGCAGCTGTTGTTTCTGCAGGCTCTGGTCAGGGTGTCCTGGGGTGTGAAAGACCGGGCTAGGCCGCCTGGACCACCCGCTGCACGCCCGGTTCTCCCTAGCTCCCCTCTCCGGATCGCGTGGGGGGGGGGGGGGGGGGACGGGTAGGACGCGAGCCCCGCCCAGCCCGCGAGGCCCGCCTGGGAGTCGTCAGGGACAAAGAAGCCCCGCCCCAGCTCGGCACGCGCCACCCGGCCTAAGCCCAGCCTCGTCGGCTTCTGAAAAATCGACCCTCTGCAGGGCAGGCACCACTCTCCTCACGTGTCCTGCGGAGTGCAGACCGGACCGGAGCAGGAGGGACGACATGGCGGCGACCAAGACAGAGAACCTCTCCGTCGTGGTTCATGGAGTCGGGGACCTGCGCCTGGTAAAACGGAAAAGGGAGTGAGGAGCGTATGCCCACCCTGCCCTGCGACCCCCTACCCACACCAGGCCGGCCCCAGCCCCAGCGCCCCAGTTCCAGCTGTGCGCAGACGCGCGCCTTCCACGCCCGGGCTGACAGATTACAGCGGGTTGCCAGGTCGGGGGATGGGGCAGTTGGTGACTGTTTGCTTAGGTGCTGTCAGGCTGGGATCTTGCCGTATGAGGGGAATCTGGTTCCGTAGTGGTACACGAGGGGTTCAGGAGAGTTGCAAAACTAATAAACAAACCCGAAAACCAAAACCAAAACCGCGGTGAAAGCCCTTCCTCCTTTGCCAACTGCAGGCTTGTAATTCAGCCTCTGGTTGAACTTTAAAGAAAAGAAACCTCTCCTCTAATTGTTGATGCCACGGAAGATGCGGGTTCCCATCCAGGCTGTGGCACTGACACTGTAGTGCTCTCCCCGGAGGAGCCTGTTAGGTTGCACTTGCGTGCTCTCCTGCTCCGAGCTCCCAGGAGGGTGGTATTCCTTTAGATGCCCCGCTTATACACCAGGCTCACACCCTTGGTGGAGAAGCACGTGTTATGGTTGGATGCTCACAGATGAGTATTTGCTTGCAGAGGCTGCACTTTCCTACTTTGTGGGGCTTGCACATCTTTAGCAGCTGTGCTGCTGAAAATACTACCTCCTGGTGCTTATGCAAACCTGGATGTTATGAGGCCAGTAAACGTTTGTGTGTGGACAATCAGGGAATGCAGAGTTATTATTAAGTTCAAGAAGCTGAGCTAACAGGGTCTCTCCTGGTATATGTGGAACACTGGGATTTGAACTCATGACCATATACTTAGAAGCCCCTACTTATTTTTTTTAAATTTTTATTACTGAAACACCATGAGGTACAGTTGTAGACTTACAAATTTTTGTGCTTGGGTTTCAATTATACAATGATCAAGTACCCATCCCTCCACCAGCGCCCATTTTCCACCACCAGGGATGCCAGTATCCTTCCCCCCCGCGCCCCTCCCCCCCACCCTGCCTCTGTGAAGGGTGGGAGAACCTTTTGTTCTCTCTCTCCTTTTGGGTGCTGTGGTTTGCAAAAGAGGCATTGAGTGGCAATCATGTTCGGTCTATAGTCCACTTTCAGCATGCTTCTCCCATCCTGGGAGGATCCTCCCAACACCCTTTATTTGGTGCTCCCTTCTCTATCTGAGCTGCCTTTTCCCCTAGCCTGTGTAAGCCCCTACTTTGTTTGTTTGTTTGTTTGTTTTGTTTGTTTTTGGGTCATACCCAGCGATGTTCAGGGGTTATCCTGACTTTGCACTCAGGAATTACTCCTGGCAGTTAAGTCCCTACTTTTAAGTTACAATTCTGCTAGGATCTGGACTTCTAGATCTTGATAGTCTTTGTCCCTAAGGTTCCTTCCATCCTTATGTCATTAGTTAACTTCTGGTTCTCTTTCCAGCAGTTTTCCTTTAATTTTTCTCCCGTCCCTTTAAGAGTATTATGCAGAGTCTGTCTCCTACCCCAGAAACTGCCTCAGCCTCTAGACTCACCAGGGCTCAGTGAGCACAGTCAGCCTTCTATTCCTTCCAGGCCTCTCTTGACAAAGTCCATCTCAGAGAGGCCTGGAGTGGCTGGAGGTATATGGGAGGGGTGCCAGGCCTCTCTCTAGCCCCTTCTTCCTCAAATAGAAAGTGCCTCAGGATCTGATTGTTGTGGAGAATGCATAGCAGGAGAGACTCGGATATGCAGATTAGCGGTCCTGGACCATCTGAGAATCTGAAGTCTTTTCACAGAATGCAAACAGACAAGTCTGACAATTGCTAAGAGTTTGGAGATTTTATTTATTTATTATCTACCTGGCTATCTATTTATTTATTTATGCCCCTGCCATACCCAAGCTGTGCTCAGTGCTGACTCCCGGCTCTGTGCTCTGAGGACCATGTGTGATGTTGGGAATTCAAACCAGGGTTGGCTGCAAGCAAGGCTAGTTCATTAACCCCTGAACTATCTTTTCAGCCCCCATTTTTTGGGTGGGAAAGTTTAGGCTAAACCTGGCAGGACTCCTGTGTTCAGGAGTGACCTCTGGCAGTGCCAGTTCAGGGATTTGAACCCCAAATCTCTATGAATTTTCTAGAGGTTTGTACCCCAAATAAGAAATCTCATCCAGAGCCAACTCTCCATTTCCTCTGCAAGTGGCCACCCCGGTTTAAAAGAGTCCAGAGAAAAACTTGAGTTCAGATGCTTATTCCTGCATTCCCATTGCCTCTACTTACTTAACCTGAATCCTCTACCCAAGTAGGACACGATTATTGCTGTTTATTTTCAGACACTTTACTATAAATGGGATGGTATTCTGAGGATGGTCCAGCTCTACACAGCTCTCAGTAATTTCAAGTTTAGTTGTTCAGTGAGTTCGATGAGACTGTTCCTACCATGTTCTAAGTGCTGGGCTGGGGCCCAAAAAGGAGAAGGGAAATACTGTTCCCCCTCCCCGCCCCCCAAGGTTAGACAGGTGAAGTAAATAGTGTGATGGTGAGAGAGAGAACCTCAGAGAGCATAGGCTTCTCAGAAAAGGCCCTTGCTCTAGAAAGAGACCACAGGCGAGACAGACGCTTGGAGTTGGAATCCTGGGGAGCAAATGGAAGAGCAAGAGCAGAGGGCTGTGTAGTCCCAGACTTTAGGTCCTATTTCCTGGCCCCTGCAAATAGGTCTGATTAACAGAATGCTTGAGGGGGGCAGGTGGAGAAGAAGACAGTGCTCGTCTCTCCATCTGTTCAGGGCCTGCTTTCAGATCTAGAGTTGCAGGATTGGAAAGATAGTTGAGAGGCTAAGGCGTGTTTGCCTGGCACAGAGCTGACTCTTGTTCATCCCTTGTGCATGTCACCACCTAAGCACAGGGCCAGGAGTCAGCCCTGAGAACGGGATATGGCCCCAAGCCAAAAATAATAGACAAAAGAAGACCTAGAAATGCAAATCTAGGTTCTAACTTTCTACAGCTCTTAAATTCATATTGTTAAGCTGCTAATCATACTAATTCTGTGGATCATGGTTCTGTGGAACAAAGGCTTGGAAATTGAAGGGGCTAGGGAGTTCTTAAAATTGATTGCTTGAGGAAGTACTGCACACACACACACACACACACACACACACACACACACACACACACACTCACTGCATGGACTTCTGAGCATTACCAGGAATGATCGCCAGGGACTGCCAGAGTCTGAACTAGCCCTGATCTATTCTTTTGTTTGTTTAGGTAGAGCATATCAACCTTGTTATATCTATTCCCTGATTATAGCAGTATTTCTGTAAAAGTGTGGCGGGCTAGAGAATGTCACTAGAGCCGATACCTGATCTGGTGGAAGGGCACAGAGTGGATTTTGAAGGACTCCCAGGCCTAAGAGTGAGAGGCAGAGCATGTGTTAGATGAGAGTGAATGAAGCTGAGGTCAGGTTTGAAATGTGAGTTTACGATGTCTCAGTATCAAACTTCATGGTATCTTTGAGACATTCCTTTGGTTTGGGGGATGTGGAGCACAGGGACGGTATCTGGGCTGGGGATTCCCAACTTAAGTGCTTCTTCAAGCAGCAGTCCATGCCCTCCCTAGGGGAACTGTGGAAGCTGACCTTCGTTGTCACAATGTCAGAGAAGCTGACTTTGGTTTTCACCATGTCTTGCACAGGAACAAGTTGTCCTGACTTAATAGTGCCCTAGAGACAGGTAGAGCCCTGGCTCAGGCTGGGCTGTTCCCATGGTGTACATGCCAGGGAAAGAATGGATGACATTTCCTTAAGAGAACCTCAGTACTGTGGGGGGGAGGACCAAAAGAGTTGGGGTAGGGGGCTGGAGCAATAGCACAGCGGGTAGGGCGTTTGCCTTGCAGCGGCCAACCCAGGTTCAATTCCCAGCATCCAATATGGTCCTTTGAGTTCTTCTTTTTTTTTTTTTTTTTTTATGTAGGAGTACTGCTATTTATTCAGCCACTGATTAGGCTGATTGAATTGTTCATGAACTCCCCCACAGGTGTTCCTTCTTAAGTGGGTCATCTCCCCAGTACCTTCTTAGTGTACCCCAGGGCTAGGGTATGTTTTACCACAGGGGCAGCTGAATAGAAAGGAAAGTCTTTATTGGCAAGAGAACAGTTTACAAATTGGGACAGCTTGGCCAGCCCAGGCTGAGGAGGCAGCTTCAGAAAGTGGGAGTCAGATTCTGTGGTAAGTAAAATTAGGCAATATCACTGCATGCTTAGGGGGTTTTCCAGGAAATATGCATATTTACAAGGGTCAGTGAGCATTCATAGTTGAGGAACGTAATAATGAACAATCATAATCTTGCATATTTAGGTAAATCCCATGTACTGGAATTACGGGAGAAATAATATGGAAGCAGGGATTTTTCATGTGATAATGAGGAATAGGGCTGGGTGATAGCACAGCGGTAAGGCATTTGCCTTGCGCCCAGCCGGTCTGGCTGGGCCGGGTTCGATTCCTCCGCCCCTCTCAGAGAGTCCAGCAAGCTACCGAGAGTATCTTGGCTGCGCCGCAAAGCCTGGCAAGCTATCCATGACGTATTCAATATGCCAAACACAGTAACAAGTCTCACAATGGAGACGTTACTGGGCCCCCTTGAGAAAACAGATGAACAGTGGGAGGACAGTGCCACAATTCTACAATGAGGACTAGATTAATAAGGGTTACTTTGTAATTTTCACCGATCACCTCTGCCCGACCAGGAGTTTGGGGCTTAATCTGTACAAAGGCACTTTTTTAGGTTCTATGTTAATCCAATCAAAGTCACTAGAATGTTATAGCTGTTCCTTTGTGCTCTGCCACCAAGCCACACCTCCAGTCATTGTTTTGCTTTCTTAATCACTAGGAATTCTTCTCAGGTTTTTTTTTTTCTTCTGGGAGGCAGCAGGGAGGACACATCCAGCAGTGCTCATGGCTTACTCCTGGATCTGTGCTCAGGTGGTTCTGAGGGGACCAAATATAGTGCCAGGA